ATAAAGATATTGTGCTTGGCAAAGTAGAGGGACAAGGAAAAAGAGGAAGACCCCCAACAAGATGGATTGGCCCAGTGGCAGCCCAAAGGGCTTAACAGTAACAATTGAGAAAATAGTACAAGAATGGGCTGTTTCAGTCTGTTGCACATAGGATCATTGTGAATCAGAGCTGACCCAATAGTAACTATCAACAACAATGAGGCAGATGAAAAGACCATAACTTGGATCCATCCCAATTTACTATCCAAAGTATTATCTTTGTTTTTTTAATACTTTAGAGAGGTCTTTTGCAACAGGTTTGTCTAATGCAATAAGTTTCCATGGACGCTGATTGTGGACCCAAGTAAAATGAAATCCTGACAATGCCAGGCTTTTCTCTCTTTATCATAATGCTGCTTATTGGTCCAGTCATGAAAGTATTTGTTTTCTTTAGTTGAAGTGTAATCTATACTAAAGTTTTTGATCTTCATCATAAGTGTTTCAAGTCTTTTCTTTCAGCAAGCATATTGCAGGTTGCTGGTGAGTCTCTCTTCAATCCTGATACCACACTCTTCTTAGTATATAGTCTGGCTTCTCAAATTGTTTGCTCAGAATACAGATTGAATAAGTATAGAGAAAGGCTACAACCCTGTCACACACCTCTCCTGATTTTAAACCATACAGTAGTCTCTTTTTCTTTTCAAACAACTGCCTTGTATTCTGTGTCTAGGTTTTACATGAACACAGTTAACTGTTTTGGAATTCCCATTCTTCACAGTATTATCCATGTATTTGCTATTACTCACACAGTCAAATGCCTTTACACAGTCAGTAAAGCACAGTTAAGCATATTTTTGGTATTCTCTGCTTTTAGCCACGATTCATCTGACATCAGCAATTGTATCTCTGTTCCATGTCCTGGCTTGAATTGCTGGCAGTTGCCTGCTGATGGACTGCTGCAACTGTCTTTGAATTACCTTTACTAAAATTTTACTCGTGTGTGCTGTTAATATTTTTCAATCATCTCCACATTTTCTATAGAATGAGCAGGAATGTGGATCTCTTCCAGTCCATTGACCAGGTAACTACCTTCCACATTCTGTGGTATAAACAATGCTTTTTGAAACATCTAAATTGGCATTCTGTAAATTCCTGGAGCTTTGTTTTTCAGTAATGCTTTCAGTACTACTTGAACTTCCTCATTCCATCCTGTGAGTTCTTGATTTTATGCTACCTCCTGAAATGGTTCAACAATTGACAAATTCTTCTTGGGATAGTGACTCTATGTAATCTTTTGTATTCTCTTTTGATGCTTCTGCAACATCCATTATTTTGCCCATGATGTTGTTGTTGTTGTTACATACTGTTGAGTCAGTTTTAACTCATAACAAACCATTATAGGATTTGTGAGGAGCAGCTGGTGAGTTTGAGTTGCCAATCTTGTGGTTCACAGTCCCGTGCTGATCCTACAGCACCATACCAGGAGTTCATAGAATCCTTCAATATTTCGACTTGAAATTTTTCTTCAGTTCTTTCACTTTGAGAAAAGCTGAGCACGTTCTTCTCTTTTGGATTTCTGACTCCAGGTGTTCACACACTTCGTTATAACACTTTGTTTTGTCTTCTGCAGCCACTCTTTGAACTCTTCTGCTCAGCTCTGTTACATCTTCATTTCTTCCATTTGTTTTAGCTACTCTACTTTCAAGAGCAAGTTTCAAAGTCTCGTCTGGCATCAATTTTGTTTTTTTTGTTGTTGTTCTTTCCTGACTTTTGAATGCCCTTTAGTTATTTCATATGTGAAGTCCTTCTGCCATCCCAAAACCCATCTGGTCTTCAATCAGTAGTATTCAATGAATCAAATCTATTCTTGATGGCCTCAAAATTCACAGGAATATACTCAAGGTTGTACTTTGGTTCCCGCCGACTTGTTTTCATTTTCTTTAGCTTCCATTTGAACTTGCATACAAGCAGTGGATGATCTTTTCTGCAGTAGTCCCCTGACCTTGTTTTGGTTGGAGATATTGAGCTTCTCCATTGTCTGTTTCTACACATATAGTCAGTTTGGTTTTTGCATATTATATCTGGCAAGGTCCACATGTATAGTTACTGTTTATGTTGTTGGAAAAAGTTATTTTCAATTAATAGATCATTTTGGTCTTGAAAAATTCTATCATGGGATCTTCAATAAAATTTCTATCACTAAGGCCATATTTCCAACTACTGACCCTTCTGTTTTTTTCCTCCAACTTTTGCATTCTTATCACTAATAGTTATCAGTGCATCATGTTTGCTCACATTCAGACTGTAGATTTTCATTTTTTAAAAATTTCTAATTTCTTCATCTTTGGCATCAGTGGTTGGTGTGTAAATTTGCATAATAGCAGTATTAACTGATCTTCCTTGTAGGTTTATGTGGATATTAACCTATCAATGACAGCACTGTATTTCAGGACAGATCTTGAAATATTATTTTTAATAATGAATGTGTCTCCAGTACTCTTCAATTTGTCATTTAAGGCATCTATGATTGTCCATTTCAAAACAGCTAATGTCAGTCTACTTCAGTTCACTAATACTTAGGATATAGGTCTTTATACATGGGACACAAACAGCTGAAGGTCCAGAAAGCTTTACTTCACCTATGTCATGAAGGTTGACTCTACACTGAGGAGGCAGTTCTTCCTCAGTTGTATGTTAAGTGTCTTCCTAAATAAGGAGCTAATCTTCCAGCATTATATCAGACAATGTTTTCAGTAGCTAATCATTCATAAGTATTCAATCTCTCCTTCTTCCTACCTGTCTTGGTCTGGAAGCACTTCTGAAGCATGTCCCCATGTTAACTCTGCTGGTGTTTGAAATACGGGTGGCACATCTGCCAGCACCATAGCAACATGCAAGTCATGACAAACTGATGGGCAAGTGATGAAATAATCTAGAGCAGCTTTAAAATCATTCACTATGCTTATCCTCAACAGATCCTTCTGTTGTTTGCAAATTGTTTTATATTTCTTAAAGGACTGTTTTAAAGTACTATAATGAAGGCTTTAAGAAATTGACACAAGTCTGTAAGTAAAACACTCTATTCTAGCCTTTCTTCTATCTCTTCCTAACACATCCAAAAATTGTAGACAAATAAAAATTGTATGATAAAATTTGAAATTTTAGAAAGATTTTCATGATGCCATGAATCTTAGGTTTACTGATATCACATCTACTCTTGCTAATAAAAATGCATATGAGTCTATAGGCTTTGTAAACTATGGTTACTTTTCAAATATTTCGAAATATTTGCTGTTATCACAATTTTGCCAGATTTTAGTTGAATGTCATTTTCTTCCTTCACATTTCTATAGTATTCTGGGAACTTTCACTACCACAGCACTCAACTCAGTGCCTGATTAGTTATCGAATTCCTAGTCTGGGTTTTCTGTGAGAAGCCCATATGTTTCTCATTTACCAGTATGTACCCCTATCTTGGAAGACAACTATCTGGCTAACTGATTGGAAGAGATCAATATTTATGCC